GGCATCACCAAGCCTTCCCATTATGTATTGGGCTGGGCTGGCTAACAGGTGGCTCCTGGGTGACTCCTGCCTCTCCCCCACGGAGTCCTCCCACCCAGTGCTAACGGCTAACACATTACAGCAGCATTAGGAGTCTGCTAACAATCATTAACAGCATAGGCTTGGGAATCAGCCATGTGGTCAGCAATGAGAAAGAGACAGATATATAGAGAGGGAGAGCTAGGGGAGAGAAGTGGAAGAGACAAATCAATAATCTCTTCATAATCCATAAGGACTATAATCCATAGAAATTGAAGACAATATTGGAAAAATGTCAAAGGCTAATACATAGGATCAGACATTTCAACTCCATTGTTAAAAAGGCTGTGTTTGTTCAGCCATTTGGACCGTACAGTACCAAGTCTGTGTACATGTAGTTTGTTGACCAAACAGCTTGTTCCAATTACTGTTGCTGCTCAGTGCTAGATCGGTGGACAAGGCTGCCTGCGTGTTTGTTCGGGAGACGACAGACGCTTTTAATTTGGCTAGAGATGCGGTGTCGGCCATCTTGTAATTTATCTGTTTTTCTGTTGTGCTAAATAGAAAGAGGGAGGAAGAGGAGGCCCTGGCGAATGGGGGGAATCTTGCCCTCGATAAAAGTTACCTCTTTCACAAGCGGCAGAGTCCCAGTTAGTTAGCAGTTCCAGGAAGAGGGAAACATCCTTATTTTGGTTCCTAGCGGAGTTAGCTAGCAGAGATAGTTCCCTGAGAAACCTAGACATCTGTTGTCTATGAGGGGAGTCGAGGGATAGAAGGGTCGCTGCGGCCCCGACGACACTGTAGCCTGGACTGCAGCCTAATTGGTAGAATTAGTGAGGCGCAGGGAAGGGTGGGGTGTTGGGTGGGCGGCCGAGGAGGAAGAGGGACAGGCCACCATGTTCCCACAGAATGAGTCCAAAATAAAATAACAAAAAGCAGAGAAGAGGAGTCACTTAGGCAGTGAGTGCAACCTCCTCCCTCCCCCTTCCCCACTTCTCTGGGTCTATGCGCCCCTCCTCTTCACCCTAGCTAAACCCATCCTTCCCTGGGTCTATGCACCCCTCCTCTTCACCCTAGCTGAACCCCTCCTTCCCTGGGTCTATGCACCCCTCCTCTTCACCCTAGCTAAACCCATCCTTCCCTGGGTCTATGCGCCCCTCCTCTTCACCCTAGCTAAACCCATCCTTCCCTGGGTCTATGCGCCCCTCCTCTTCACCCTAGCTAAACCCATCCTTCCCTGGGTCTATGCGCCCCTCCTCTCTACCCTAGCTAAACCCATCCTTCCCTGGGTCTATGCGCCCCTCCGCCCCACCCTAGCTAAACCTATTCTCGTCTGTAATTTAGATTAATTTCTTCCACATTTTCTCCCCACATTTAGTTGTTTACCATCCCCGCTGTTGTTCGATGTCCTTGTTATTTAACTGCCCCCCCCCCCCCCCCCACTTACCCCCCATGTTTTCAACCTTGTGCTATTAAGTGGTTTCAGTGGTCGGGAGTTTCAGTACCGATTAGAGCGACTGCAAATGACTCTTAATGCAGAGCAGGATTAAAAGGCGGTTATGTTGCGTCTGTTAGGAAACGGTTAAGAATGGAGTGGATAAAAGAAGTGATGAACTTCTAATTGACATTGCTTCTATGAAACTGACATTGACATTTTGGGATGCAGTCAATCATACATGAACACATTCCCACTGAGGGGCTGTCAACTGAACCCATTTTTTAAAATCAAGACAGGATAGATAATATGCCAAAAGAATGTGACACACAACTTGGGTAACAATTGAGGATTCTTGTCATCTTTGAAGCCAGTGAGTGTTTCATGATCTGTCCTCCTCCATCTTGAAACAACAGTGTCATGTGACTTCTCGTGACCTACATAGAAAGGTCATCGAGTCACGGCTTACATAAAATATGTTTATGGCCCGATGAATTGAGAGTTGATAACTAGCTCCGGGAGTCAAAATGAGATCAAACGATTATTATATATTAACTCGTCAATTATGTTTCAGAGAACAGATTAGATTCAGGTACGCGTAACAGGTCCAAACTTGCTTCACATATAAACCATCCTGTGTTGATTGAAATTGTGTGAGTGGGTGCAGCACTTGGGTGACCATATAGGGATACAATTAAAAATGATTGTTTTATACTGCTGAACTATCATGCTCCCTTTCCTATCAACAAAACCCATCAAAACAAACAACATGTCTATGAAAAGGGTAAGGGGGAAAAAAACGGGGTTTCCATAACTACCATGTTATGAGTGGACTATGGCCAATGCAAATGAGTATCTTGTTGTGATGAATGGGGGGAAATGGCAGGGGAAAACACTTTACAAGTTCATCAACGGACACAAATACAGGATCATTCAGCTTTTATTGAATATTCTACATGTTGTCATGTAAAGGAGTGAAACGTGTAATTTAAAACCTAGCTACATAGAAGACCAAGAATGTTGGTGGTAGCTCAGAACCCACAGCTATCTCTGACATCATTACATTCTGAGCATATGACAGTAAACCAACAAAACTATGACATCCACTGGTGGCTTTCAAAAGAGCAAACAGCGACGGCGAGAACTGTAAACAGTTACTTAGCTAACAACTAGTCTGTGGCTAAAGCTAACAACACAAAGCAAGACCTGTGAGTGGACGAACATTAACAAGAGTTTGATAGACGAGAGAAAATAAAGAAAATCGCCTCTGGTCGATGCCTTTGAGGAAGGAAGTGTTGCCATAACCATGCTAGACCGGTCATCAAAGACAATTGAAGCAGTTCCCTGTCTCAGCTTTCAACCCTTCTGGAGAAAAAAAAAAATGTAACTGAAGGCAGTTACAGAAAACTGCTAGCAGAGTGCTAAGAGTGCTCAGCTACAGCGGGACTGACAGGTCTGGTCAAACAGGTTCTAAGGGAGACGCTCCTACTTGTTGGGCTGCTAGACATGACAGGAGTCAAACAGCAAACTATTTGTCCAACTAGGCGGTGGTCGTGTCCGAGTACCTACACTAGCGTACTACATACTTAAACTGCATACTCATTTCGGCGTTTGATCTACTGTAGTAGAATTCAATTGTCTTTTCCGACTCACGTGTTTGACAACAGCTGATAATCAGATAAATTGACGGGCTGTACCAAAATGAACGGATGGCGGGGGTCAGCACAATCGCACATCAGATGACGCATTCAGAGTATTAGTTTAGACATTCCACATACTATAAAACATTATTTTTTCGCATACTATTTAGTACGCTAGTATGGTTATTCGGACAAAGCCACTGGTTTCTTAGTGAACAACACCGCAGGACACAGGGTAGTAAAAGAGGGATGTCAGTGGTAACACATTTCAATGAGGCATTGGATAGCCCAGATAAGAGGAATGTTGTAGGCTTCCTACATACTGTATGCGTCACTTAAGTGAGAGATACTCTGAAATCCCGCTGTAATCTTAACTCAAGTGTCTAACATGGATAATCGTATGACACATTTGTTTCACATGGGGGCAGGGATTTGTGTTGTGAGAGTTGCTGTGATCCCTGTAAACAGACTTGCCGCATGATTCAGTGGAGACAGTGGATGATGATTAGGCTGCCTTGTTCAAGTCTCAACACATTGAGAACCACAGCACCTTAATTCAATCGTTTTTTTCCTCACAGATCAAAATGGTCTTCCCCTATTGTGAAACATCCAACTCACACGTTTTAGTGTGTCATATGCTAAAGTAGAGATCAGATTAGATTGGGCAACACATGAAAACACCTGTTCCCCAGATGGGCATATGAATGTGAAAATGGGAACTTTCTAAAAAATAAACAGTCCACAAAATAAACCACAGCTTTAGGGGGACAAACAACCATTTGGTGCACAGCACACATACATAACTAAGTGAAAACATAAACTAGCAATGGTTAGCTCGGACTAGAGTGCCTGACCCCCACATGAGGCCTTTTTCTACCAAGCCACATTGCTTATTTGTGTAGCTAAGTTACTACAGATAATGATGCCCACTGTTCCCATTATTTGTGGGACTTTGCCATTTACTAATAGGAAAATCTTCACACACATGACTTGCCCATCATTTATTAAACACACAGCTGAAAAAACAGGGGCTGTTGTACATTGCTACTTTGTGTGTGTGAATGTGTGCGGTTGCGAGAGAGGGAGAAATGGAGAGAGGGAGAGAAGCCTTTGTCTGATAGCTCATTAATGTCTATGCAAGGCAAAACTCTTGCCCAAATAGGAGAATATCATCAAAGTCGTTATAACAGGGTTGACTTTTTATTATTTTTTCCTATTACTTTAAAACAGTTTTACACATATTCAAAAAGTATATCATACCCACTGCCTAACCTCTACATTATAAAAACTAACCCATTTATAAAAGTTTATTACATCATAAAAGGTTAAGCCATACACCAGAATGATACCATTATTTACATATCCCATTAAATTACAACATCAATTAGAAAATATTTACATTCAGGGTAAAGGTAACGGACAAAAAACACTCTTTCTCAAAAGAAATATAAACATTTTGCATACACAGACACACACAATGTAACACATACACTCTTGCTGGCATACTGGCTGAAAGAGATACAGTTTAGATGAAAATGTCTTATTATGATTGGATATAGTTAACATCAACATTGAATAGTTTTGTACTGAAGGTGAGGGATATCTAATCTGATCCAGGACTGATTTCTTTTACATTGCAATGTGTACAAATACTAAAGGAACCAATGGGCAATATGAGTACTTAAAGACAGGATATAAAGTAACAAAGATTCCAAAAAACAAAAAAAGAAGACAAAAAAATAGTCCATTGCCTTTTGTCATAGCCCACAAGTAACCATCCCTGATCCAACACTGAATGGCTGCTATTGCAAATCTTCTCTAAGGTTTCTGGTTTCTGGGGAAAACAGAGAAACACACAAACAGGCTTTTTTTTTTTTATACCAGACCTACTAAAAAAAACTCCCATGAAAAAAGCACAATAACACTGTACCCATTGAAGTCGTTTTGAAAATTCAAGCAACGAATAAAAAAACGAATGAAGTGGATTTTCTTCTCTCCCGTAGAAAAAAGTGTCCTTTGGTAAGTCCAATGGGAACTGAGCACCGCGGAAGAGACACAGGAAATCAGAGGCTTTGCCTCCAGACAGAAGAGGAGGGGAAAAAAGCTGAAAAGAATTCACAACCACAGCGACCCATCTTGAAATGATGTCCTCTAGGGAAACAACAAAGTCTGCTTTCTGTTCCTTACCCCATGTCAACAAAGTCCAGACCCTTTGGCTGTGCACAGTTTAAGCACCCACTTTTACAGTAGGCACCAAGGTAGGTCGATCTCGCATTGAAAGCAGCCAATGGTGGTAGCCGGGCAAAAGCAGTGTCTTTTGAGATACTAAACTTGTAAACATTGGCCATAACGGGGTAAAATGTTCAATTCAACTGTGCAGAAACACAAAAAATCTAGAATTAGAATCATACAGACCATTTTCGCTTCTAAATATCGATGTCAAAGAAGTCCAAAGGGGAATGGGGGGGGGGGGGGGAGAGCATTTCCTCATTTCCTGTGCTTCTCCATTTTGTCAGAGGCTTTGCTACCGTTGTCAGAGGAGCCCTGCATGTCGCTTCCTGAGCTCAGGTACATTTTGTCCACCTGTTTGAGGGCCTCATTCAGGTAGTTCTGGAGGGAGGTCATGGCAGCACAGATGGCGGGTGAGCCGAAGCCGTGGGTGATGAGGCTGAAGTGTGTCAGGTAGCCCTGGATGCCCTGATCCAGGATGGGTGCCGGCCGCGTGTTCCCCAGAGGCGACCGGTCCTGAGTCAACAGGTCGGTGAACTCCTTACAGATTTGCCTGGTGAAAAAAAGACGACAGAAATGTTGATAAAGATAGCGAAATGTACATGACCCAGACATGGACTACTGGATTTATGTCTAGTTGACAATGATCCAATCAGAGAAGTACACTGTTTCATGTTGACATTATGAAATTGGGAGGTCTTAAAAGTAGCATAGGCATCAAGATGTTTTATAAATCAAGAGCAGATTGAAAACTACAAAAATGCTTTTTGAAACGTTGAAAACCAAGTCAAAAACTTCACATATGTTCAAAACCTTGCAGGGCTTTTATGTAAATTACATCCCTTAATTTGGAGGACAGAGAGAGACAGAGACACAGACAGACAGAGAGACACTCACTTAGCAGCAAGGAGCATGTTCTTGCGGGAGTTGACCTCATTGCGTTCCACGTGTGGTCGACACAGGTATTCAGCGACGGCCTTTGCCGGAAACTCTGTCTCACACGAGTAGCCAAAATCCCTTGCCAAGTGAACGGCTTCTCCTATAAAGACAAAGACACGGTTTGAAAACTCCACAAACACACAAACAGATGCAAAACAATACACCAAAACTCTTTTCTAGGAGACCGTAGATGCAAATGTGGTCTTGCTGACATAGCACAGGCCACAGGGCACTATATGTAGACAGTGGAACAGTGCAATGAATAATAATCAGTTGTGCTCAGTCTCTTAGCTCGGGGGAAGACAAGCCACTGAGGGTGAATATATCCCATCTTCAGAGGGGGACTTCCTGCGTGGTCTTTAATGGGCTAATGTGGCTAACTGCACCCGGACGGCCTGTAGCGCCAAACAGAGTCACTTATTGATAGGCACGCACATCACATGGGGAATGTAGCAATTCAGAAACGCTAGGCTTTAAGGTCAGTTGGCCCTCCTGGCAAGTGGAACACGTGATAACCAGCCTTGATTCAGACTTTGAAGGTCTCTAAATAACACTGGCCCCGAGTCATCCTCCTGCACCCATTTATAGTGATTAAGGATTAGAGGGAAAAACTGAAATCACACGTGGCTATGAGCAGTTAGACGTGATTCAATTAATATTGGGCGCACAGCTATGTGTCATTGCTTAGACATTGTCTAGCCGAGGTATGACTGATGAGAGCGTCAAAGACGGGATTCATTAATAAATGGACGTGACTATCCTGTCTCAAAAACAATGAACGAATCTAGACAAGAAACATCTTCATGAAATAGTGAGGAGATGTGCAGGGCCGTTGCTACATATGAGTACACTGAGGTTCGGACCACAGTATGCTTTTTAATTTTTAATTTAAAAAATAATACTGTTGAGTGTTAGAGTAGTCGAATTCACAAGGTGCAATTTAGAAACTTGGTTGTCTGTCAGCAGTTTTCCTCTTGTTATATGTCACTCACTGACAGTCACTCAATTAGCCCATGTCAGTTAAAACATTTTAGATTGGTAAATAAGTCTAGTTATTCTAGCCAGCTATCTAAACTTGTAGTAATCATGGTCGAATTACCGACCGGGCACGAAGGGCACGTGCCCAGGGGCCCTGACCTCCAGGGGGCCCCCATTGATTTTGTTAGTCACTCTTACTCAGATACACATGGCCAAAAGTATGTGGACATCCCTTCAAATTAGTGGATTCGGCTATTTCAGCCACACCCACTGTTGACAGGTGTATAAAATTGAGCACACCGCCATGCAATCTCCATAGACAAACAATGGCAGTAGAATGGCCCGTAATAAAGAGCTCAGTGACTTTCAACATGGCACTGTCATAGGATGCCACCTTTCCAACAATTCGTCAAATTTCTGCCCTACTAGAGTTGCCCCAGTCAAGTGCTGTTATTGTGAAGCGGAAACGTCTAGGAGCAACAACGGCTCAGCCGCGAAGTGGTAGGCCACACAAGTTCACAGAACGGGATCGGCGAGTGCTGAAGTGCGTAGCGCGTAAAAATCGTCTGTCCTCAGTTGCAACACACTACCGAGTTCCAAACTGCCTCTGGAAGCAATGTCAGCACAATAACTGTTCGTTGGGAGCTTCATGAAATTATTTTCATGGCCGAGCAGCCATGAAAATGAAAACAAGCCTAAGATCAAAATGCGCAATGCCAAGCGTCAGCTTGAGTGGTATAATGCTCGCCACCATTAGACTCTGGAGCAGTGGAAACGAGTTCTCTGGAGTGATGAATCACCCTTCACCATCTGGCAGTCCAACAGACAAATCTGGGTTTGGCGGATTCCAGGAGAACGCAACCTGCCCCAATGCATAGTGCCAACTGTAAAGTTTGGTTGGAGGAGGAATAATGGTCTGGGGCTGTTTTTCATGGTTCGGGCTAGGTCCCTTAGTTCCAGTGAAGGGAAATCTTAACGCTACAGCATACAATGACATTCTAGACGATTTTGTGCTTCCAACTTTGTGGCAACAGTTTGGGGAAGGCCCTTTCCTGTTTCAGCATGACAATGCCCCTGTGCACGGGCCCTTTGCTGCTATAACAGCCTCCACTCTTCTGGGAAGGATTTCCACTAGATGTTGGAACATTGCTGCGGGGACTTGCTTCCATTCAGCCACAAGAGCATTAGTGAGGTCGGGCACTGATGTTGGGCGATTAGGCCTGGCTCGCAGTTGGTGTTCCAATTTATCCCAAAGGTGTTCTATGGGGTTTAGGTCAGGGCTCTGTGCAGGCCAGTCAAGTTCTTCCACACCGATCTCGACAAACCATTTCCATATTAATGCCCATGATTTTGGAATGAGATGTTCGACGAGCAGGTGTCCACATACTTTTGTATGTGTCATATTAGCATGGCATAAGTCATAGCAAAATGTGTAGAATTGCAGGACATTAGCTGTAAAACTGCAACATTTTTTCCCCTTCTGTAAAGCATTTGTTTACCTTTTGTTAATATAATACTTTTTCTGCTAACAGATCCCTGTGTACGTATTAAATTATAGTTTTTAATCCTGGTGCTGAGTTAATGTGTAGCGGCTAATTGTGTAGCTAATAGGCTATGTGTTTGTAGATCAACTGAGGTGAATGAAGCTACAGCAATCAATGTGATAATGGCTAGGGTAATCTTTATTTGTTTTTGCTGTTCTCCAAATAGCATTTTAGAGTTATTAAATTGTATAGAAATGCACCCCCCCCCACCCCCACTAAAACTCACACCCTGGCTACAGCCCTGGAGATGGCTACTGTGTGTGGTGATTTCCCTTTACATCTTTGTAGAGTTTGTGTGATCTGTAAGACAGGAAGGTTACAAGCTACACATTTCTTTGTCCTTTGGTCGCGTGTGTCATATTAGATAGTGTCACAGCCGTAATAGACTGGACTCCATAAAGCTGTGTGTGGTATTAGATAGTGTCACAGCCGTAATAGACTGGACTCCATAAAGCTGTGTGTGGTATTAGATAGTGTCACAGCCGTAATAGACTGGACTCCATAAAGCTGTGTGTGGTATTAGATAGTGTCACAGCCGTAATAGACTGGACTCCATAAAGCTGTGTGTGGTATTAGATAGTGTCACAGCCGTAATAGACTGGACTCCATAAAGCTGTGTGTGGTATTAGATAGTGTCACAGCCGTAATAGACTGGACTCCATAAAGCTGTGTGTGGTATTAGATAGTGTCACAGCCGTAATAGACTGGACTCCATAAAGCTGTGTGTGGTATTAGATAGTGTCACAGCCGTAATAGACTGGACTCCATAAAGCTGTGTTTCTCCTGCTCTTCAGGTCTGGCCAGCTGCTTGATAACCTCAAAATGTCACCAAGACAGTCAGGGTGGATAACGTCAACGCTGCCTTGATATTTAAAGACAGAGGAATGCCAGCAAGAACTCAAACATCAGCTAGGTCACAGCCATTTTGACAAGAAAAGTACTAGCCACAGTTACCATTGAAGCTATATACAGCCAGTATTATAGCAGTATGGTAATCATGTCACAGTAGCTTAGGGATCTCAATCTATAATGAATAGATAGATGGTCCATCGCCAGTGGAAGAAACAACCATGGGTGTAAGCAATGGTGTCTGATCACCATCTCAGACAACTTAATCAGTTATTTCTGATCACATCTATCTGTGCATAATATGTGCAATAATCAATTCAGACCATTTTTTGGACCAGCCAGCTTGTTCAACGAGTAAAGATGGAGAGGAGTTCTATGCATTGTATTTCTATAATGTTATATGTTGAGACCACTCTGGGGCACATTTACCACAGTTTAAGTTTGAAGAGGAAATTGAGCGGCGTACCTTCTACCAGTGCAGTTAGCAGGGTGACGTTAGCAGCTTTTCTCCTTCCAGCGGGCAGGTTGAGCCCAATCTTGTCCAGCTTCTCTCTCAATGACCGGCCACCATTTTTAGACTTGGCTCTGTAGGAAAAATAAGGAAGAAGACAATTAGCATCATCATCGTTACTTGACAATATGTAAGCTTTCATATAAACAAGGCCACAATGGGTTCCTTTATAGTGAAGAAATTGTGTTTCCTTAATTCATAACAGTCATACAGTCCCCTCTAACTCAGGGGTGTCAAACATACGTCCCCCGCAAGGGGGTCCAATATGGCCCACGGGGGGGTAAAAAAAAAAAAAAAAAAAAAAATTATATATAGATAGATAGATATAGCCTATTTGGAGGGGGGGGGGACGAACTCAATATACTTTAAAAGGACTGAAACCAAATCGAAACTGTATAGAAATTATAATGGACCTACATTCATACAGTTTCTTGACTGTGTCCAGCTCGCTTTTAATCACTGAAATGAAAGCTAGACAGTCGGGGAACATTTTCAGTGCGAACCCGCCGGGCCTCTTTGAAGACCGAATGTGGCCCATGGGGCAAAATGAGTTTGACACCCCTGCTCTAACTGAAGAATATATCATATTCCATTCTATAGGCTATTTGTGATGGAATGTTTTTTTTATGAAGCGCAGAGTCAGCAACATTAAGTGGTGTTGTAAGGGCTACTGTCACCCTAACTCCAGACTTCCTGTCACCCTAACTCCAGACTTCCTGTCACTTTGAGAGAGCATAGCAGTGAAAGGCCCATCCCTGAAGGAGGCCTCATCATTCAATTTTGAAAACGAATAAATCAAACGAAAAAGAGCCTCCGATACCCTTCCTGACCTAAAATAAATAACACACTGACACAAATGATGCTTGTCCCGCCTTAAGCACATAGCAGGGAAATCACACACACACACGATTCAGTTTTCCGCATGACTGAGTGGCAGGCTTCGCTCCCTCCGTGGTGGGTGAGAGAGACGGCATCTTTGGGGAGGCATGTGTGTGACTGCCCCCCTCTCTCCACAGCCCCCACTCCATCCTATCGCTTCATGACCTACTTAACAGTGTCTCAGTGTGTGTGTGTGTGTGTGTGTGTGTGTGTGTGCGTGTGTGTGTTAGAGGCGTTTAACGTATGTGGCACTGGCAGGGGCACATGGGAAGTGAGAAACATGCCTTCTCAGCAGAAACAGGCAGAAGCCCTGGTCAGAATCCCCTAGTCCCTCAACAGACTGCCTGCTGACATATGGGGCACAAGGTCAACTACTCAGCAGCAATTAAAATAGCCCTGCAACCCCCCTGAACTCACTCTCTCTCTCATATATATATATATATATATATATATATATATATATATATATATATATACACACACATACATACACACACATACATACTGGTGCTAACTTATCTGATGTAACCTTTCCCCAAAGTGAAGTACCAGGAATTGCAGAGTATACAAAAAGGTAGTCAAGATGCTTTCAACCACACAATTACTGAAGAGGAACATCTTCTTTTAGAGAACACCTTTTTTTTACGTATCCATCAACGTTGCTTTACTGACCTACTGTCTGTCTATGAACCAGGTCGAAAACGTTCATTAGCTTAGTATCCAGCAGTACCCTGAAGCCCAGAACCTTCACAAAGTATTCATACCCCTTGACTTATTCCACATTTTGTTGTGTTACAGCCTGAATTCAAAATTGATAAAAATTGTATTTTTTTTTCTCTCTCCCATCTACACAAAATGCCCCTTAATGACAAAAGTGAAAACATATGTTTTAGAAATGTTAGCAAATTTATTGAAATACATAAATATTTCATTTAATGAAGTATTCACCCCCCTGAATCAACACATCTGAAGTAGCTCACTATTTTAATTTTTTATACATTTGCCAAAACAATTGTAAAAACCTGTTTTTGCTTTGTCATTGTGGGGTATTGTGTGTAGATTGATGAGGAAAAAAATAATAATTTAATCCATTTTAGAATAAGGCTACAACGTAACAAAATGTGGAAAAAGTCAATGGGTCTGAATACTTTCCCAATGCACTGTACATCTGAATTAGCTCACTAGCTATAGAACAGCAGCAATATCAAACTTACCAGAGACATGTTTTGTGTGGACATCTCTCCATGATCTCCTAAATACACCACATCAGCTGGACCAAAATCACTGATCCTTTGAGCTGCTGTCAACCATATTTTAATGGACTAGATGTTGGCTATTGTTCACAATTGCACCCAATGAAAAAACAGTAACACCTGCCATTATAGTGCATTATGATGCAGTTATAATGCATTTGTTTATTTAAACCTTCGGGGTAACACTTTACCAGGTGTAGCACATTATGACTGATGTTATAATGCTTTGCAAGACCTGTCATAAGCACGTTTAACACCCTTAACATGTCTTATAGCCATCTCATAATGGATTAATGTTGTGTGGATACTGACCTACGCAGGACTCCCCCCAGCAGGGAGGCGTTGAGGCATTCGGGAGGAGACAGGCGCCGCTGCACCTCTGCCACTGTCACCTTGTACTTGGAGGTGGAGCTGAGAAGCGAGAGTCGTCCGGGCACCGAGCAGAACACCTCGGTGGGGTTGGACACCATGCCTAGCAGGGACTCCTTCTGGAAGGGCAGGCCCAATGAGTTGCCCTTAGGGAGGGACACGGGGCCTGGGGAAGGGGGGTGGAGAGAGGAGAGGTTAGTATGAGTGTTTGGTTAATAATGTGAAGAGAAATTATAATGAGAGTAAATGTGCGAGTAAAAGTTGGAGTATCAAGGTTAATGTAGAGTATCTTTATTGTCCCATTGGAAATGTTGGTTTGCAGAGAGGATAGACGGACATTAGACAACATTATTGGACTTTATGAAGGTTGTGCTACATTGTAAACATGTTCTGGGTGAAGAGAATTTTCTAGAAAATGTTTAGTTTTTTAAAAGGATTTGAGTCATCAAGACTGGCTGCATTTGCCGACAGTTGTAAAAATCCCTCACCACTGTCTGTTACCGCCCCACACTGCAGCTTGGATTCCAACTTTGACATGCTTTCTCTATTAATAAACAGTGAAATTTAACATCATCATAATGATTTGTAAAAAATCTATATAACTCTGAACTGTTACACGTAAACAACAAACCTGTTACCTTTGCAGAAGCCAAGATGTATACCATAAGTGGCCATTCACTAGGTAACTATGATGAACTAGTATTTTTTTTACCAACAGTCATTCCTGAGGTTTCACAGCTAAAAGTCGCCTCATTCCTACCACCCACTGACATCCACACGCATACACAACTGCTCCATGCTACTTCACAGAGTCCATTCTCCCTGCCTTGCCTTAGACGAACCCTGTAGATACTTCTAATTGAGTGACTAAAATAAAGACTTGTTTTACAGAAACAGGTCCCAAATTGGATGGCCATTTTGGATCAAACGTTCAAGGGTCTGTAGCTTCTAATTGAGTGACTAATAAGAACCTAATCTAAAGACTTCTGTTGTACAGCAAGAGGGCCCAAACTGGCAAACTGGGTGGCCATTTTAGATCAAAAGTTCAAGGGTCAAACCACACAAGTCACACCCAGACAAACATACAAGTACACTACATATACCTTCGTCCTCACCCGCAAGAATGCCCCCCTCATAATAAGTCCTCTGTAAGCGATCAAGGTTTCTGCCACCTCGTAGTCCTAGTACTGAGACAAGAATCACAAAGGGGGACAAAATTATGATTTAGAGCTCATCTATAGGGTAAATGGCTAAGAGTGAGGCATTGCTGCCGCAGTTTACAAGAATGTAGGCTACCCACAGTCTGCCCTTGAGAGGAAGATCAATAAAGTGAGTCAGCGCACACTGTAACAAATACTATTTGTCCTTTATTGTGCTGTACAACTTGCTACCTCAATATTGTATGTTTTTTATCGGATTGTCGTATTGATTCAAATCTAATCATCAAAAATGTCCACCAATTTAATACAATCCAAAATGGCTGCCATTGATAAAAATATGTAGGCTACGCAAAACAAAGCATTAAGAGCATTTAGGTAGCTCTAACACAAATGGTTATAGCTGGATTCAATATTTTATTCAAGCTTTCAACTGCCTAAGTTGCCATCAAAAATCCGGCAGATTTTTGTACTCATTTCCTTATTTTGGCTAAATATATAAATAAATATGTGTGCATGCACGTTAGGCTATTCATTCTACATAATGTTTACTATAATTTTTTTCGCTGCATCAATCTCAAACTTCATCCTGTGGCGCAAGCAGTTTAGCATTATATATGTAGGCTTTATTACAGAAAATACATAAACTATTCTTTATTGTTCCTGCCAATGTTGCTAAGGACATACCATTCATACAAACTCTAGTGACCCACCACATCACAATAATGTTATCTACCGTCAAAGCTCCTGAAATTGTATGTTTACAGTGATGTTGTTTTAATAAACCTCATAACATCTATTATCCATTTACTACAAATATGATAGCCATGAATTCAATATCTACAATACATGAATCTATAAATTAATTGGGTTACAAAGGTGGTGCAGAATTTCAAATCAACGCACAAAATGACTGAATGGAAGACTGTTGAGGGTAGGGCCTAATAGATAACACTGAATCCTCCTCATTCAAAACATTTCATGTCCCAACAAATTACTGAATTGTCCTTCGCATGCAAGGAGGATGCCACACCCCAGCTAAAGCTGGTTTTTCAGAAAGTCAGCCAGCGAGTCTCGAGAAGAGCAACGACCCATTGGACTGCTTTTAACTGGAATTCAAAAGGAGTCGAATGCACCAGCTTAGACCTCTAAAGACTTTCCAAAGCGTTCCCTCTCCCTCTGTCTTCCTCTCTCAATGCAGTATTTCAACGGTTGCACAATGTCCTCACAGCCCCATCTTGTCAGCTATAGCCTGCCATTTTGAAAAGGTTCTTTTTCTGCTGTTCTATTCAAATAAGCTCAGCACAGGAATATATAGAGCATCAAACTAGGTTTAGTTAAGTCAACCTTATGACTACTGGGATTATCAATGTATGTATGAACAAGTACAACTACCAGACTTTCCCACTCTTATTTTCCATCATCAAATGCAAGGACATGTCACTGTACAAATAATAGCAAAATATTTGTAGAAGTAGATTTCTCCAGGTAGGTACTTGGTAACAAGCAATCTCAGGGATGGACTAAATGTAAACAGCACTCAATGTTTCTCTATTGCATTCTTGTTACCTGTTGCACACCAATGGCTGGCACTGTGCCCTTATACATCAAGCATGTGTAACTCACAAACCAGTAAGGGAATATTGTCTTGAAATTGTGAAAGCATTTCTCATATGTCAATAGGCTACATGCACGTATGTGGAAAGTAAAATAAACCCACCTTTTTTGATGACTGTCTGATCTGCCATTATAATACTGTGGTCATCTACATGCTGAAAAATAAGTTAGAAAAAGCAATATGTAATACTTATTCTTAAAATAATAATTAAGGGAGTTAATTATGAAATATGACATTTCCATTCCATCATGACAATAAAACCATGCCTTTCTTTTGCATGCCTCATTCAATTTCACTCAGACAACAAAATCACAATCAAATCACTCACTTGAACGTCATCCAGGCCATGGCCCATTTCGTGCAGTCCTATGTTATCACCAATGATGGTTGACTCGATGCTATGGGCGTGAGGCGGCAGCAGCTCCGGCCGACGGAAGCCATCTCTCCTCAAGCCGGACGAGCCGCCATCCAGGCCCAGAATCTGACTTGCGAGTCCGCTTCGCGAATGAGGTCCCAGTCCTTCTTGACCATGTCGCCCCGGCCATGACTGCTGCTGGTTCGAGGACGACTGGTGTATGGAGTTGATGTTGAAAGGGTCGCTGAGGTGCGAGTAGGGGTCACTGGACTGGGGGTATGATATAGGCTGGTATGGAGGCGGGAAGTACGGGGGTTGGAAGTCTGAGTTGGCGGAGTGGGAGAGGGACGGCGACGGGCTGTAAATGTGCTGGCTCACCGCAGGGAGGTGAGGTAACCGGGGGTTCCCATTGCTACTCCCATCGTGCCTTTCCTGGAGACAGAAGAGAGACCTTCATTTAGGATGATAATGATATTGGGATAAATTATAATATATTGTGCCCCTTGTCAATCAGACAAATGCGTAGTGAATCAACAGTCCTCAACAGAATTCATTGGAAAGACAACTGTGTTGACAGCTAGGCCTGACGCTGACATCAATATTTATTTTCTCCATCGATTAGGAAAGCATATGGTGAAATGGTTTACACATTCATGAATAATATTTAGTGGCCGGAATTAAGCTATTTTTATAATGTTATTTCAGTACACAATTATCAGAAGAAGACTACTTAGCCCAGCCTTGAAAAGCAAGACATTGTTTCACTATTCAAAGTAATAATGCATATTTAGTTACACAGAAAAGGAAAATAACTAAAAGCATTTTCTAATTTCTGATAGCATGCAATCTATGTGGACTGCTGTGATATTGCTGTCACCACAGACCCTCAAAATACAGTCAGCAGGGGACTATTTTACTACCCATGTGGGCCTATAATATTATTATTAATAATCATAACAATAACAACAATACTTTTGGAATTGTAATAATTTACAATAACCTGACTCAGCTCAGAAAAATAGGCCCACCTAAGTAAATCAAAACGCTTTACACTGTCACCTAAATCCAACTCAAGCAACACAAAATAAATGTTATTTATTGAAATCAAACCACACGTCATTAGTCGCCAATACAATGGTCGAGATGCTGCGGAAAGAGTAGCCCATCTAAAATAGCCTATAGACAACTTATAATGTTACATTATGAACTATATTTAGGCTACCATTCAAAGAAAGAAAACCAAACATGTGTGCTAATGCACTTGAACTTCCACTCGACAATGAAAAATAGCATAAACTGACCACTGATCTGTCTTATTCAAAATATGCTTCATAGTTTTAACAATTTTCCCATTAAAATAATTGTCATTCCGTCAAGCTTTTATCAAGTAGTCTGCCTAAAAGCGATTGTCGCGCGACAAATACACATAAACAAAAAGTATACCCATTAAAGATGCGATAGAGCGATGGGGCGCATGAGGGCCACAACATTTTTTATGAAATAATGTTCTTCCATAATTCCTAACCTTGTTGAAACTTAATGCCGTGCGGTTTGTGTTGCTAAAACTCACCTCACAATCATCCTCGTACTTCACGTTATCTGCTAGTTTCCACAGCATAGTTTCTGACAGGCAAAATCTTACAACAAGAACGTTGACCAGGTAAATTGATGGTCGTCTACGAGTTAATCCAGGTAGGAAACAAAGTAGGACTGCAGTCTACTTCCTAGAAATCATGAATAGACTTCTTCAACTCGAGTGGGGCTGCGGTTTCTTGAAGCGTACTGACGTTTGAGCGGAGCCTACTGACGTTTGAGCGTGATTCGGGCGGCTATCAACATAGGTCTCAACAGCAACTATGAGTGAAAATAGTTTTTCAAGCAAGATCCCTTTCCAGCCCGACGCGGTAAGCAGTTCTGCAGTGAATATGGGACGAAGCGCTGAATATATGAAACTCGACTCCCTCTGACGGACAAAGCGATGATGTTCAATACTTTGCTCCTTACTGAACTCGCTTGAAAGCATGTGTACTATATTTACAAAGGTTAGATATTTGTAAGGGGCGTGCCTTTGTCGTGACGTCATCTTGAATATGGCAGAAGAAAAGTTTGCTGATTGGTTATTATTGGAATAAGGAGCCAATCATATTGCTGTCCGTCTGCAGTTGCTCTCTTGACGTGAAAATATTATATGATTATACTTTCGATAGCCTTACTAGAGTTTAATTATTATTGGTAATTGTGGCCGAATAACTAAATGCATCTTATTACATAGCCTATAATAACATCATAGTTTGAAAAAGTTATTTTAAAATACTGTAAGTGATAACAATAGCCTATGAATGTAATCGAGAAAATTGATATTTTTTAGCCATGTTAAATTGGCAATAAAATGTTCAATAGAAATTAGCAAAACAATAGCCTACGAAAAGGCTTTAAAGCATTATGCGCACGTCCTCCATTGTGGTCCCATTACATTGCAGTGCTGTCAATATGTAGTTACTTTTTTCACTTTTTATTGACTCTTATAGACACTTCACTTTTCAAATCATTCGATTAGACCAGGCGTTGGGTTCAGTGGCAAAGCACTCCACTTGTCAACAAAGTCTGAAAAACATGAATTAGCCAATTTCGCTAGTTGACTCCTTAGTTGAAACAATACATTAAAAAAAAAAACTCCATGAAATAAACATTATAGTTTTAACCATGTTTTGAGGCTATACAGTGTTTGTTTACATTTACGTTGTTTACAAACATTGGAGAAAAAAAGCCTATATTTGGGGTTCTGATGTGTTATGACAGTTGAACTAAGCTCATGAAGCATTTATAGGTTATATTCTTCAAGAATCAATGGGTATATATCATTAATTCATACGTCCAAACATGGATCTAGCAACTAAGGATTCCAGCTTTAATAAAGCAAGAGTCATCGCGCTCATATCAAATAATCCGATTTCCATCATAAACCTTAACATATAAGGAATAGTTGCATTTTGGAGCTTTACCTTGTAGTTTGGTGCCTTCAAAACCAGTAAAGCCCCAAGGCTTAAAAGCATTGCTCTTCTTCAAACCACTAAGCACCAGACATCTTAACGAAAATCTCCCCCTTAAAGCTTCATTAACATTTTTGGTGGAGCACTGCAATGTCTAAAATAAAAGTGTACTTAATGTTTTGATATGCATAACTTGACGCAAAAGGGAGTTATAGCCTATTTTAAAGAAATAAATACACTTACGTTTGGATTTTTCTTTTTATTGTTTCCAATATCATGGTGAAAGATTATTTACCCTATAGATACAGCAGTTAATTAACCTAAGGCTTTGAATAATTTTCTGTCTGGCAAAACAATACATGCGTCTTTATCATTAAGGTTTTGGGAATGCTTAATAATAACTCTACGCCTATTACGTACACGTGGTCATCGTCTCTGGGAAACAATAACGATTGGAAAAGATCATCTCATCCATGAACGACGCCGTGTCTTTAAGCTGCGTGTCCTTCTTCTGAGCGTGTTATGATATGAACCAGAAATGAATGCTCACTAATTAAGGGATCTTTACATCGCGGTGGCACAGAGTAAATGAGGTTAGACACGCAAGAGTTGCCTAGCTGTTGTGTTTTCAACAGGTTTTTTTTTATCATTTCAATGACAATCATGGCAATGCCAATTCGTTTAAACAAGAACTCTTGACAGAATAGCCCATTTTAAAGTAGGCCTTAATCGTTATCCATAAAGGCAATTAGCTACAAATGTTAGGCTTCACATGGGCCATGTGGTTTAATGTAAATGTAAAAAATCCTCTTTCGAAATAGGAAAAAAAAGGTGAATTATGCAAAAATGATGTCACACTGAAGAAGCTAAACTCATGTAGAATATATAGTCTATGTTTAACTATATTCAGAGACAAATGACCAATTTTGATGGACGTGCAATCAATCTCAATGCAACAGATTTTCTATTAATAGTCTTATATTATTTAAGCTTATTTATTTATTGTAGCCTATTTTAGGCCTATATATTATAATATGGTGCACATTTGGTCTAGGCTATAGGCTACTGAGTATTGTGAGACATAATGTTCTTGAAACGAATACAATTAAAGTTATCAGAAAACCAGTTGCCAATTTGAACTATAAATCTGAGTTGCCGTTGGTTACGTATTTTAAAATCATACAAGATATGTAATGACCAAGGTGTATGGCAAATGTAGGCCTATGACTATCTCTTCTGCAGGGCTTCAACCTCCGAAGTCGTGAGCACCCGACTATTTCAATAGATAAACGTTATAGGGTATATTATCATGATTATTGTTTTAATAATAATTAATTGAAATGGCATATTTAGCAATAGTAAAGCCACTATCAAGGGCCGCGGAGTAGCCTAGTACAAACGACTACACGGTCCTAAAAACCTGTAACCTACAATTAATGTAACGTACTGACTTAGGTCGAAAGATAGACAAGTAATAGGCGTAATCATTCTAAATAACACATTGAAAGCAAAACATGCATTTGCTTACCCGCCAGTCTGATTCGAGCCTCTCCAGTAAAGACATCTGTGAGGATCGCGGTATAATTCCAGTGGAGAGGCTATGAATGAGGGAATTCGCAAGTTGTCTATTGCTGACTTCACCTGGTTCTCTTGGAACGCGCATGCGCCCTGTATGGTACTGCACCTGAGTGAAACCCTATGCACGTTTCAGTGATAGGCCTACTCTAATGTTGTTCGACTTTCCTACATCTCTCTGCAATTTCATTGCAGTTGAATCTACACATTCGAGGGTAGCCTAAACAACACTTACGGAAGTGTATCTTCATAGAATAAATGCATTTAAACCACGAGAGAGGCTTCTGAATAGGCAATATGCTTATTTCTTTTCGTTTCTTTCCATTTCAATAAACAACAGCTACATTTTCCTTTTCAATGTATTTTGTGGATTCCTGAGGCCTAAAATACTAGAGACTCAATTTATCTCATATAAACGTTCAACCTATTGTTTAGCCTATCGTAAACTTGTGTAGGGTAGGCCTAATTATTAACTAAATACAGAAAGGTCACTGGTTGGAATCCCCGCGCCGACTAGGTGAAAAACCTGTCGATGTGCCCTTGAGCAATGCACTTAACCCTAATTGCTCGTAAGTCGCCCTGGATAAGAATCTGCTAAAATGACTAAAATGTCAAATGTACAGATTCAAATATGTATCCTGAAATAGTCGCAACTCCAAAGCCAAGTGCCAGAGGATAACCAAAACGCTATATTACAAAGAATAGCTTGCAGCAAACTACCTGGAATTGCCGCTTACAACATCAACAAAGTTGCATTGATGCATTCTAATTTTCGTTCAACGAACGACTGAAGGCTTACAAGAATAGCCTTTCCATCCACTGTGACAATGTAATGTGCGTTCGGTGAATAAATGCACGGTCTTTCTATTTGATTTGATCTAAAGTTGAAGTCGGAAGTTTACATACACTTAGGTTGGAGTCATTATAACCCGTTTTTCAACCACTCCACACATTTCTTGTTAACAAACTATAGTTTTGGCAAGTCGGTTTGGACATCTACTTTGTGCATGACACAAGTAATTTTTCCAACAATTGTTTACAGACAGATTATTTCACTTATAATTCACTGTATCACAATTCCAGTGGGTCAGAAGTTTACATACACTAAGTTGACTGTGCCTTTAAACAACTTGGAAAATTCAGGAAAATTATGTCATGGCTTTAGAAGCTTCTGATAGGCTAATTGACATAATTTGAGTCAATTGGAGGTGTACCTGTGGATATATTTCAAGGCCTACCTTCAAACTCAAGTGCCTCTTTGCTTGACATCATGGGAAAATCAAAAGAAATCAGCCAAGACCTCAGAATTTTTTTTTGTAGACCTCCACAAGTCTGGTTGGTTCATCCTTGGGAGCAATTTCCAAACGCCTGAAGGTACCACGTTCATCTGTACAAACAATAATAAGCAAGTATAAACACCATGGGACCATGCAGCCGTCATACTGCTCAGGAAGGAGATGCGTTCTGTCTCCTAGAGATGGATGTACTTTGGTGCGAAAAGTGCAAATCAATCCCAGAACAACAGCAAAGGACCTTGAGAAGATGCTGGAGGAAACAGGTACAAAAGTATCTATATCCACAGTAAAACGAGTCCTATATCGACATAACCTGAAAGGCCGCTCAGCAAGGAAGAAGCCACTGCTCCAAAACCACCATAAAAAGCCAGACTACGGTTTGCAACTGCACATGGGGACAAAGATCGTACTTGTTGGAGAAATGTCCTCTGGTCTGATTAAACAAAAATAGAACTGTTTGGCCATAATGACCATCGTTATGTTTGGAGGAAAAAGGGGGGGTTCTTGCAAGCTGAAGAACACCATCCCAACCGTGAAGCACGGGGGTGGCAGCATCATGTTGTGGGGGTGCTTTGCTGCAGGAGGGACTGGTGCACTTCACAAAATAGATGGCATCATGAGGAAGGAAAATGATGTGGATATATTGAAGCAACATCTCAAGACATCAGTCAGGAAGTTAAAGCTTGGTCGCAAATGGGTCTTCCGAATGGACAATGACCCCAAGCATACTTCCAAAGTTGTGGCAAAATGGCTTAAGGACAACAAGGTGAAGGTATTGGAGTGGCCATCACAAAGCCCTGACCTCAATCCTATAGAACATTTGTGGGCAGAACTGAAAAGGCGTGTGCGAGCAAGGAGGCCTACAAACCTGAGTCAGTTACACCGGCTCTGTCAGGAGGAATGGGCCAAAATTCACCCAACTTATTGTGGGAAGCTTGTGGAAGGCTACCCGAAACGTTTGAAACAAGTTAAACAATTTAAAGGCAATGCTACCAAATACTAATTGAGTGTATGTAAACTTCTGACCCACTGGGAATGTGATGAAAGAACTAAAAGCTTAAACAAATAATTCTCTCTACTATTATTCTGACATTTCACATTCTTAAAATAAAGTGGTGACCCTAACTGACCTAAGACATTGAATTTTTACTAGGATTAAATGTCAGGAATTGTGAAAAACTGAGTTTAAATGTATTTGGCTAAGGTGTATGTAAACTTCCGACTTCAACTGTATCTTTGAGCAATAAATGAAGATGGTTATGAACATACAGTATCTGTAAAAAAGCCTAATAATTAACTAAACATTTACAAGATAGAAATTACAAGGTTAAAGACTGTCCCTCATTTATTTAATTGAATGGGAAACATAATATTCTTGACTTTTTCCAGAGGTCAAAGGTTGCATTGGCACAATTATTAGCAAAACAGCTGATATGATTGGTCAAAAGACCAATTAGTGAAAAAGATCAGAATTGGGCTCCCTGTGTCAATCAAATCAAATCAAATTGTATTTGTCACATGCGCCGAATACAACAGGTGTAGTAGACCTTACAGTGAAATGCTTACTTACAAGCCCTTAACCAACAATGCAGTTTTAAGAAAAATACGTGTTAAGTAAAAAATAGATAAGTAAAAAAAAAAAATGAAGAAGAAAAAAATAAATAAATTAAAGAGCAGTAGTAAAATAACAGTAGCGAGGATACAGTGGGGAAAAAAAAGTATTTAGTCAGCCACCGATTGTGCAAGTTCTCCCACTTAAAAAGATGAGAGAGGCCTGTAATTTTCATCATAGGTACACGTCATCTATGACAGACAAAATGAGAAAAAAAAATCCAGAAAATCACATTGTAGGATTTTTAATGAATTTATTTGCAAATTAGGGTGGAAAATAAGTATTTGGTCAATAACAAAAGTTTCTCAATACTTTGTTATATACCTTTTGTTGGCAATGACACAGGTCAAACGTTTTCTGTAAGTCTTCACAAGGTTTTCACACACTGTTGCTGGTATTTTGGCCCATTCCTCCATGCAGATCTCCTCTAGAGCAGTGATGTTTTGGGGCTGTTGCTGGGCAACACGGACTTTCAACTCCCTCCAAAGATTTTCTATGGGGTTGAGATCTGGAGACTGGCTAGGCCACTCCAGGACCTTGAAATGCTTCTTACGAAGCCACTCCTTCGTTGCCCGGGCGGTGTGTTTGGGATCATTGTCATGCTGAAAGACCCAGCCACGTTTCATCTTCAATGCCCTTGCTGATGGAAGGAGGTTTTCACTCAAAATCTCACGATACATGGCCCCATTCATTCTTTCCTTTACACGGATCAGTCGTCCTGGTCCCTTTGCAGAAAAACAGCCCCAAAGCATGATGTTTCCACCCCCATGCTTCACAGTAGGTATGGTGTTCTTTGGATGCAACTCAGCATTCTTTGTCCTCCAAACACGACGAGTTGAGTTTTTACCAATAAGTTCTATTTTGGTTTCCATATGACATTCTCCCAATCCTCTTCTGGATCATCCAAATGCACTCTAGCAAACTTCAGACGGGCCTGGACATGTACTGGCTTAAGCAGGGGGACACGTCTGGCACTGCAGGATTTGAGTCCCTGGCGGCATAGTGTGTTACTGATGGTAGGCTTTGTTACTTTGGTCCCAGCTCTCTGCAGGTCATTCACTAGGTCCCCCCGTGTGGTTCTGGGATTTTTGCTCACCGTTCTTGTGATCATTTTGACCCCACGGGGTGAGATCTTGCATGGAGCCCCAGATCGAGGGAGATTATCAGTGGTCTTGTATGTCTTCCATTTCCTAATAATTGCTCCCACAGTTGATTTCTTCAAACCAAGCGGCTTACCTATTGCAGATTCAGTCTTCCCAGCCTGGTGCAGGTCTACAATTTTGTTTCTGGTGTCCTTTGACAGCTCTTTGGTCTTGGCCATAGTGGAGTTTGGAGTGTAACTGTTTGAGGTTGTGGACAGGTGTCTTTTATACTGATAACAAGTTCAAACAGGTGCCATTAATACAGGTAACGAGTGGAGAACAGAGGAGCCTCTTAAATAAGAAGTTACAGGTCTGTGAGAGCCAGAAATCTTGCCTGTTTGTAGGTGACCAAATACTTATTTGGGACAATGCAAATAGTCCGGGTAGCCATTTGATTAGCTGTTCAGGAGTCTTATGGCTTGGGGTTAGAAGCTGTTAAGAAGCCTTTTGGACCTAGACTTGGCGCTCCGGTACCGCTTGCTGTGCGGTAGCAGAGAGAACAGTCTATGACTAGGGTGGCTTGAGTCTTTGGCAATTTTTAGGGCCTTCCTCTGACACCACCTGGTATAGAGGTCCTGGATGGCAGGAAGCTTGGCCCCAGTGATGTACTGGGCCATACGCACTACCCTCTGTATTGCCTTGCGGTCGGAGGCAGAGCAGTTGCCATACCAGGCGGTGATGCAACCAGTCAGGATGCTCTCGATGATGCAGCTGTATAACTTTTTGAGGATCTGAGGACCCATGCCAAATCTTTTCAGTCTCCTGAGGGGGAATAGGCTTTGTCGTGCCCTCTTCAAGACTGTCTTGGTGTGTTTGGACCATGATAGTTTGTTGGTGATGTGGACACCAAGGAACTTGAAGCTCTCAACCTGCTCCACTACAGCCCTGTCGATGAGAATGGGGGCGTGCTTGGTCCTCCTTTTCCTGTAGTCCACAATCATCTCCTTTGTCATGATCACGTTGAGGGAGAGGTATATATCCTTAGTTAGTTGAATCTAGCCATCTGCAGGGTTGTGGGTACGATTCCCGCAGGGGACCAGTATGAAAAAAGTAAGAAAATGTATGCACTCACTACTGTAAGTCTTTCTGGATAAGAGCCTCTGCTAAATGACTAAAATGTCAATGTAAAATTCCAGAGGTCTGTCTACTCCACACTAAGTAGAATCTAAGGCAAAGTTAAACCTCTGCTACCATCTTGTGGCATGAATGAATTATTTAAGCCAAGCACATATTTTTCTGTGCTATCAATGTTTCCTTGGCACCTTTGTGTGACCCTAAAATACTATCTTGCACACTTTCATGGTGTGTCCTAGAATAATTGTTTTTATGTAATATTAATTCAAATATACCACAAATGCTATAAACCCACCACAAACCTGAAAAACACTGAGAAGATAATGTGAGACACGGCAGTAATGTAGGGATATAACTAAAATACCAGCAGAAGGGGACAACTTGATTGTTTCATTCGACTTAATGCACCTTAACTTGTACACAGTACTATATGTTGTCCTATAGTAAAAAGGAATACCCAATTTTTAAGTAAAAAATACTTTATTTTGACATTGTTTGGGTTGAGGGGTGAACAAATATGCGTGGAAAAAAGTATTTAAAAAGGTATCCGTTTAAATAAAAATCAAATATGGACATCTTAATAAAAAAATGTGTTTTTATCAATCTATATTTTGATTGGTGGTGGGTGACAAGTTATTTGGAGGAAATGTAAATATTGAGTATAGACAATGTTTAATATTAATATAATAATATGCCATTTAGCAGACACTTTTATCCAAAGCGACTTACAGTCATGCGTGCATACATTTTTACGTATGGGTGGTCCCGGGGATCGAACCCACTACTCTGGCGTTACAAGCGCCATGCTCTACCAATTGAGCTACAGAGGACCACTTACATAAGCAATAAGATGTTATGAATGAGCACTCACTATTCCACTTCTCCACTTTCTATTAACTAGGCCCTTGTAATATAATTTCAAAACATTTGTATAACATATTGCATAGCAAACCATAATCAAAAGATGAATCATAGTGACTTGCCAAATCCACATCTATATAAAAACCTAGATGGATATCTAGATAAGACCAACATATAATACAGCCAATTCATAGAAAAAAAGGAAAAGGAGAATTAGTAACCCTAACCTATAGCACATGTATTGATGAATACCTTTAAGAAACAATGAATACCTATAAGAAAAAGTCATCTGTCAAATTCGTTAACAATTTATTAAAAGGACACCAACATAAGGGCTTCATAACCTACATACAACACAATCATAAGCAGTAGCAAGTTGATATTCCCTTTGTGTCACAGAAATGTGCACTTATACTGCAGATTTCAACTTGCCGTTGTTGACATCAGCATTTACGAAACACTTATGTGCTCATGAATGCATTAAGAATAGGTTATAAATAACTATTTTTTACTTTTTTTTTTAGGTACCCTTCGAATAAAGGGATACCTCAAATTGTTTCTCACTGCAAATACACAGGAGCACCTGGTTAAGTGTGCTGCCTGACATGACCACTGGGAGGCGATATATAGGCGTAGTGGGCTCATTTAGAAGTGGTAGGGGGTGTGGGTGACCCAGTTGGATATCTGGTCTTTGGTGCGCTTGGCTGAACTGTGGCTGGTGAAGAGAGATTTGTAGGTCTCCGACTTCTCTTCCATGGTCTGGATGGACCTCTTGCTCCCGGATGCCTCCAAGGGTTTGACCACCTTGGAGGAGCTGGACCAACCAGAGGGCCCAGGGACTGCTACGGGGAGAAGACAAAATGACCAATAATGACAATTGTGTAGCATAAAATAGAATACTTTGTCACTTTTGTGAGAAACAGAAATTGGTCTCCTGTCTATCTCAACGCCTTCAAATATATATACACACACACACACACACACACACACACACACACACACACACACACACACACACACACACAGGGATCCGGTCCAGGCTCTGGATGGAGAGCACTTTAGGGGTTAAGAGCCTTGCTCAAGGGCACAGTGGCAGTTATAGGGTTAAGACATCATGCTGCTGAGTTATGAACTGTAAGGTGAGTATACTGTCAGAAAGGCAATACAAATGAGTGCAAGCTACACACTATTGTTAACTGCATTGGATGATTGTTTGTTCAAAGTGTTAATGTGTTTGTGTTTCTCCCTAGTCAAATAAACCACAAATAAACACCTGGCTGGCTGCTGTCGTCGCCATTTTCTGTTGAAGTTTTTCCCTCTGCAAAAAAGGTTTCAGTGGAGTCTGGATTTTCTATATAGGAACAAAGAACGTGAACAAGTAATACATCGAAAGTTTTAATATAAAAATCCATCACTCATCTATCCTCAATTTCATGCAGTTTTACTCTGGTATTTTGGAGAGCGAGGTAGAGAAAACATTACATGAACCTCCCGTCTGTGTCTGAAGAATGGCAGAATCTTTGACTATCAACAGTGGCACATTGTGTGAATATCTACACTGGAGTTGCTTACCAACATATACTTTTTCTGAGTGGCTTAATTACAGTTTTGACTTGGCTTGAAAATCTATGGAAAGACTTGAAAATGGCTTTCAACAATGATCAACAACCAACCTGACAGAGCTTGAAGAATGTAAAAAAGAATAATGGGCAAATATTTACAAATCCAGGTGTGCAAAGCTCTTAGAAACATACCCCAAAAGACTCACAGCTGTAATCGCTGCCAAAGGTGTTTCTGACATGTATTGTCCCAGTGGGGTGAATACTTAAGGGGTATTGTGTGTAGGCCAGTGACACAAAATCTCAATTTAATTCATTTGGAGTTCAGGCAGTAACACAACAAAATGTGGAAAAGTCAAGGGGTGTGAATAGTTTCTGAAGGCACAGTAACTATCTGTTACGTTCCCCAGCAAGAAAACCAAATAATGCCACTCAAACAGAAGGGGAACTAACAAAGAGTCACTGACAACAACAAAAACTAAACAGTTGGGGTTTTAGGAGGGGTTCTGAAAGACACTCACGGGCGTGTCCACTGGAAGTTGACTTGCAACAACAACTGGAACCTAAAAGACACCCACCATGAGCGCCCACTACATTTGCCCAAGAAGAGGCAAACAAAATAAAAACCTATTCCAAACTTAAAAACAGGAAGCAGACCATAAAGTGGAGCAAAATTAAAACAGGGAAGATCAGATAAAGGCTTGTTTGTCTAGAAATCCAAATAGGGAGAGCCAACTAAAAGGTGTTAACCCTCCACATCTATCAAGACAACTAAAGGAGTTAACCCTCCACATCTATCAAGACAACTAAAGGTGTTAACCCTCCACATCTATCAAGACAACTAAAGGTGTTAACCCTCCACATCTATCAAGACAACTAAAGGAGTTAACCCTCCACATCTATCAAGACAACTAAAGGAGTTAACCCTCCACATCTATCAAGACAACTAAAGGAGTTAACCCTCCACATCTATCAAGACAACTAAAGGAGTTAACCCTCCACATCTATCAAGACAACTAAAGGAGTTAACCCTCCACATCTATCAAGACAACTAAAGGAGTTAACCCTCCACATCTTTCAAGACAACTAAAGGAGTTAACCCTCCACATCTATCAAGACAACTAAAGGAGCTAACCCTCCACATCTATCAAGACAAGTAAAGCTGTTAACCCTCCACATCTATCAAGACAACTAAAGGTGTTAAACCTCCCAATCTATCAAGAAAACTAAAGGTGTTAACCCTCCACATCTATCAAGACAACTAAAGGTTTTAACCCTCCACATCTATCAAGATAACTAAAGGAGTTAACCCTCCACATCTATCAAGACAACTAAAGGAGTTAACCCTCCACATCTATCAAGACAACTAAAGGAGTTAACCCTCCACATCTATCAAGACAACTAAAGGTGTTAACCCTCCACATCTATCAAGACAACTAAAGGAGTTAACCCTCCACATCTATCAAGACAACTAAAGGAGTTAACCCTCCACATCTATCAAGACAACTAAAGGAGTTAACCCTCCACATCTATCAAGACAAGTAAAGGAGTTAACCCTCCACATCTATCAAGACAACTAAAGGTGTTAACCCTCCACATATATCAAGACAACTAAAGGAGTTAACCCTCCACATATATCAAGACAACTAAAGGAGTTAACCCTCCACATCTATCAAGACAACTAAAGGAGTTAACCCTCCACATCTATCAAGACAAGTAAAGGAGTTAACCCTCCACATCTACCAAGACAACTAAAGAAGTTAACCCTCCACATCTATCAAGACAACTAAAGGAGTTAACCATCCACATCTCTCAAGACAACTAAAGGAATTAACCCTCCACATCTCTCAAGACAACTAAAGGTGTTAACCCTTCACATCTTTCAAGACAACTAAAGGAGTTCACCCTCCACATCTCTCAAGACAACTAAAGGAGTTAACCCTCCACATCTCTCAAGACAACTAAAGGAGTTAACCCTCCACATCTATCAAGACAACTAAAGGAGTTAACCCTCCACATCTATCAAGACAACTAAAGGAGTTAACCCTCCACATCTATCAAGACAACTAAAGGAGTTAACCCTCCACATCTATCAAGACAACTAAAGGAGTTAACCCTCCACATCTATCAAGACAACTAAAGGAGTTAACCCTCCACATCTTTCAAGACAACTAAAGGAGTTAACCCTCTACATCTATCAAGACAACTAAAGGAGCTAACCCTCCACATCTATCAAGACAAGTAAAGGTGTTAACCCTCCACATCTATCAAGACAACTAAAGGTGTTAAACCTCCCAATCTATCAAGAAAACTAAAGGTGTTAACCCTCCACATCTATCAAGACAACTAAAGGTTTTAACCCTCCACATCTATCAAGATAACTAAAGGAGTTAACCCTCCACATCTATCAAGACAACTAAAGGAGTTAACCCTCCACATCTATCAAGACAACTAAAGGAGTTAACCCTCCACATCTATCAAGACAACTAAAGGTGTTAACCCTCCACATCTATCAAGACAACTAAAGGAGTTAACCCTCCACATCTATCAAGACAAGTAAAGGAGTTAACCCTCCACATCTACCAAGACAACTAAAGAAGTTAACCCTCCACATCTATCAAGACAACTAAAGGAGTTAACCATCCACATCTCTCAAGACAACTAAAGGAGTTAACCCTCCACATCTATCAAGACAACTAAAGGTGTTAACCCTCCACATCTCTCAAGACAACTAAAGGAGTTAACCCTCCACATCTATCAAGACAACTAAAGGTGTTAACCCTCCACATCTCTCAAGACAACTAAAGGAGTTAACCCTCCACATCTATCAAGACAACTAAAGGTGTTAACCCTCCACATCTTTCAAGACAACTAAAGGAGTTCACCCTCCACATCTCTCAAGACAACTAAAGGAGTTAACCCTCCACATCTATCAAGACAACTAAAGGAGTTAACCCTCCACATCTATCAAGACAACTAAAGGAGTTAACACTCCACATCTATCAAGACAACTAAAGGTGTTAACCCTCCACATCTATCAAGACAACTAAAGGAGTTAACCCTCCACATCTATCAAGACAACTAAAGGAGTTAACCCTCCACATCTCTCAAGACAACTGGAGCACTGGGCCAGCCACTATTAAATAGCACCTGGGCCACAGGTGAAACACCTTCACACTAACGAGATGGCAGCCAGCACAGGGGTAACACATACTGACTAACGAGGTGAAACCAATTGGTGCGCCCTACGTGCTAACATGCTAAAGTCCTCAAAAAAACATAAAAGGAAAAACCAAAACCTGTAACACTATCACAAATCAAATCACATTTTATTTGTCACATACACGTTTTTAGCAGATGTTATTGCGGGTGTAGCAAAATGCTTGTGCTTCTAGCTCCGACAGTGCAGTAATATCTAACAAGTAATATCTAACAATTTCACAACATATACCCAATACACACAATCTAAGTAAGGAATGGAATTAAGAATATATACATATATGGACAAGCAATGACAGAGCGGCATGGACTAAGATACAGTAGAATATTATAGAATACAGTATATACATTTGAGATGAGATATGTAAACATTATTAAAGTGACTAGTGTTCAATTCTTAAAGTGGCCAGTGATTTCTAGTCTATGCCTATAGGCAGCAGCCCAATATGTGCTAGTGGTGGCTATTTAACAGTCTGATGGCCTTGAGATAGAAGCTGTGTAATGATCATCCTGTATAATCAGCTTCTTTATATGCCACACCTGTCAGGTGGTTGGATTATCTTGGCAAAGGAGAAATGCTCAAAAACAGGGATATAAACACATTTGTGCCCGAAAGTTGAGAGAAATAAGCTTTTTGTGCATATGTAAAATTTCTAGGATCTTTTATTTCAGCTCATGAAACCAACACTTTACATGTTGCGTTAATATTTTTGATCAGTGTATTTCTTTATCTTAATTGTTTTGCACTGAATCCCTTGCTGGCTCTATGCACACTCACACATACTACACTGACACTCAAACACACACACACACTTTACATACGCTGCTGCTACACTGTTTATTATATATCCTGATTTCCTGGTCACTTTTACCCCTACCTACACATACATACTGTTACCTCGACTACCCCGTACTCCTGCACATTGACTCGGTACTGGTACTCCTTGTATATAGCTTCATTACTATCCCGTACCCCTGCACATTGAGTCAGTACAGGTACTCCTTGTATATAGCCTCATTACTACCCCGTACCCCTGCACATTGAGTCAGTACTGGTACTCCTTGTATATAGCCTCATTACTATCCCGTACCCCTGCACATTGAGTCAGTACTGGTACTCCTTGTATAAAGCCTCATTATAGATTTTTTGTTAATATTGCCTTTTTTATTCAGCAAATATTTGTCTTACTTTTAAACTCTGCACTTTTTGGAATGGGCTCGTAAGTAAGCATTTCACTGATAAATCTACACCTGTTGTATTCGGCGTACGTGACCAATACAATGTCCACATGGCCCTAATCATAACATTGCACATTTTAGTTTTTAGATTAATAACATAACGATAAGCTACTCACTATTATATGTTTAGCTCGGTTTGACTGCCTGTGGTCTAACTAAGGTTATACACACCCAGTTTCTTCCATAGGGCTCTAGTCAAAACTAGAAAACCATATCAGCAATAGGGTGCCCTTTGGAACACAACCCAAGTCTACATAATACAATGTCATGTGTTCTATAACGCAAACAAAAGCAGACAAAAGCAAAACTGTCATTCATTCAGCAAACTGGTTGCACCAATTTCTGTGTGAGTGTGTATAAAGCAAAAATATGATATATGTCAAGCGTCCTCCTGTCACGCCCTGGCTCTGGGGACTCTTGTATGTTGAGCCAGGGTGTTAGTTTCTTTGTGTAGTGTGTATGTTTCATTTTCTATGTTCTGTTCTAGGTTATGTGTTTCTATGTTGGCCGGGGTGGTTCTCAATCAGAGGCAACGAGAATCAGCTGTTGCTTGTTGTCTCTGATTGGGAACCATACTTAGGCAGCCTGTTGTGCACTTGTGTTTTGTGGGATCTTGTTCCGTGTTGGTTTGTGTTCTTAACCGAGGACTTCACGTTTCGTTTGGTTGTTTTGTATCGTGTTGCCAGTACACTATTAAAAAGATGTACGCATATCACGCTGCGCCTTGGTCCAATCATTATGACGATCGTGACACCTCCACACTTCCTACCTTGTGACTGTGATGGCTTGGAAACAGTCTCAGCAAATTTGCTCTTCTTCGATTTCTACAAAAAAAAAAAACATAAATTTTACCGTAAATTCCAGGCAACTGACATAACCAGTAAGTGGAGAATCCTAACTTCCACCTATAGTGAGTCAAATCTTCACTTTGACATCAATGCATCATGCAAGCATCATGACTAGGGGGAAATTTGACTTAAAGGGATAGTTCAGCCAAATTACAAAAGTACATGTTGGTTTCCTTACCCTGTAAACAAGATGTGTCAGACTCATTCTGCGGACGGCCAAGTGTCTGTGGGTTTTCACTCCACCCTTGTACTTCATTGATTAATTAAGTTCACTAATTAGTAAGGAACTCCCCTCACCTGGTTGTCTAGGTTTGAATTGAAAGGAAATCCCAGAAACCCACAAACACTTGGGCCCTCCGTGGAATGATTTTTGACACCCCTGCTGTAAACAGTCTATGGACAAGGTTTCAAATGCTAACTTTTTAGCATTTGTGACACAAATCCATTGCAAGTCAATGCGACCTATATTTCAATTTTTGCGCTTCATGTCCAAATCATCCTAAAGTATCTTAAAATTGATTGTATAACTCAGTTAAGTTTCTTATAGATGATTTGGACATGAAGCGTGAAAATGCTAATATAGGTACCATTCTTGCATTGGAATTGTACCCAAAATGCTAAAAAGTTGTCACGATCGTCGTATATAGAGGAGGACCAAGGCGCAGCGTTGCAGGCAAACATACTCTTTATTAGAGACACGATCAAAAACAACAAAACGATAACGTGACAGTTCACGGTCTAACACAAACAGACTAGAAACAAGATCCCACAACATTTGTGGGCAAATAGCCTCTATAAATATGGCTCCCAATCAGAGACAACCAGCCACAGCTGACACTCGTTGCCTCTGATTGGGAACCACTCTGGCCAACACAGAAATACAACCTATAGAATATCCACACCCTGGCTCAACATATAGAGTCCCAGAGCCAGGGTGTGACAGTACCCCCCCCTAAAGGTGCGGACTGCGACGGCGCCTAACGTACACACACCAGGGGAGGGCTGGGTGGGCATTCCTCCTCGGAGGCGGTTCCGGCTCCGGGCTTGACCACCACCCTTCCACCATCCCCCCGTGGCGCCCCTGGTCCGGTCTGGCCCCGCTGGCTGGAGCTGGACCGGACATCGTAGAAGCGGACCGCTTTGGCTCCGGTGTGGAGCAGCTGACCGGTACCTTACCAGGCACCGGTGACCCAGGCACGGGTTGTGCTTGACTGACGATGCGCACCCCTGGCTTGGTGCGTGGAGTAGGAACGGGCCGGACCGGGCTGACGATGCGCACCCCTGGCTTGGTGCGTGGAGTAGGAACGGGCCGGACCGGGGTGACGATGCGCACCCCTGGCTTGGTGCGTGGAGTAGGAACGGGCCGGACCGGGCTGACGATGCGCACCCCTGGCTTGGTGCGTGGAGTAGGAACGGGCCGGACCGGGCTGACGATGCGCACCCCTGGCTTGGTGCGTGGAGTAGGAACGGGCCGGACCGGGCTGACGATGCGCACCCCTGGCTTGGTGCGAGGAGCAGGGACAGGCCGGAACGGGCTGGCGACGCACACCGTAGGCTTGGTGCGTGGAGCAGGGACAGGCCGGACCGGGCTGGCGACGCACACCGTAGGCTTGGTGCGTGGAGCAGGGACAGGCCGGACCGGGCTGGCGACGCACACCGTAGGCTTGGTGCGTGGAGCAGGGACAGGCCGGACCGGGCTGTGGAGACGGATAGGAGACCTGGAGTGAAGAGCTGCTACAACCCGTCCTGGCTGAATGCCTACCTTCACACACTCTGTGTGAGGCATCAGCACAGGACGTACAGGGCTGTGTACCCGTACTGGCATAACAGCACATGACACTGGCGCAGGATATCCGGGACCGAGGAGAGGCACTGGAGGCCATGAGCGCTGAGCCGGCACACTCCGTCCTGGCTGCATGCCCACCTTCGCACAACACGTGCGGGGTGCTCGCACAGGACGTACCGGACTATGCCGGACCACTCGTGGCACAGTGCGCAGCTCCGCATACCGCGGAACCTGCCCAGTCTCATGCTGCCATGCCTGAGTACGGGGAGTTGGCTCTGCTCTCCATCCAGGCTCCGCCAACCTGCCTTCTGGCCCCCAAAACCCGGTGGCCTCCTCTCCTGATCTCCCAATTCGCCCTGTGGCAGCCTCCTGCTGCCCAGTCGCCCATGCCGTGTGCCCCCCCCTAAAAAATTATTGGGGGTGCCTCTCGCCTGTCCGACCACGGCCCGGTCGACGCCGCTTCTCCACTCCTGCCTGGGTCTCCCCCTTCATCGCCTTTCGGTACCGGACGGCCTCCTCCTTCGTAATCTGCCCCCAGCCGAGGAGGACATCCACCAGCGTTACCTCCTGCGTGTGTTCCTGGACACGCTGCTTGGTCCTGGTTTGGTGGGATCTTCTGTCACGATCGTCGTATACAGAGGAGGACCAAGGCGCAGCGTTGCAGGCAAACATACTCTTTATTAGAGACACGATCAAAAACAACAAAACGATAACGTGACAGTTCACGGTCTAACACAAACAGACTAGAAACAAGATCCCACAACATTTGTGGGCAAATAGCCTCTATAAATATGGCTCCCAATCAGAGACAACCAGCCACAGCTGACACTCGTTGCCTCTGATTGGGAACCACTCTGGCCAACACAGAAATACAACCTATAGAATATCCACACCCTGGCTCAACATATAGAGTCCCAGAGCCAGGGTGTGACAAAAGTTAGCAACCAATATGTAATTTTGTAATTTGGATGAACTATCCCTTTAAGTGGAAGTTAGGATTTCCCCTTAAAATGTTATTTGAAAACTCAAGGAATGCGAACCTTTGTTGCCTTGGCTCTCTTCTCCTCCATTATCTTCCTCAGTTTCTCCACCTCCTCCTTGGTCCCGTTGAGGACGACGAGGTCTTCTTCTTTGAATGGGTCACCACACTACAACAAAGAGCAGGTTTAGTTAAGCCCTGACATTCTTATACATTATTGTTATGACATACATGCTTTTTAGTATCTTATTTTTAATTCATTAATTTAACACAACGGTGATGGCTTAATGAAACGCTTCATTTAGGGCTTCTCACCTCACCTACGGTATGTCTATGTTGTGCACAATGTTCAACGCAAATAAACGAGTTAAACATATGAAATACATTTGGTGTACTTCAGAGCCACAACAACAAAGACATGAAGCAAAGGTCATAGTTCAGTCAGTGTACTGCGGATCAATAATACCATCCAAATGTCAGTGGTACATACAGTGGGGAGAACAAGTATTTGATACACTGCCAATTTTGCAGGTTTTCCTACTTACAAAGCATGTAGAGGTCTGTAATTTTTATCATAGGTACACTTCAACTGTGAGAGACGGAATCTAAAACAAAAATCCAGAAAATCACATTGTATGATTTTTAAGTAATTAATTTGCATTTTATTGCATGACATAAGTATTTGATATATCAGAAAAGCAGAACTTAATATTTGGTACAGAAACCTTTGTTTGCAATTACAGAGATCATACATTTCCTGTAGGTCTTGACCAGGTTTGCACACACTGCAGCAGGGATTTTGGCCCACTCCTCCATACAGACCTTCTCCAGATCCTTCAGGTTACGGGGCTGTCGCTGGGCAATACGGACTTTCAGCTCCCTCCAAAGATTTTCTATTGGGTTCAGGTCTGGAGACTGGCTAGGCCACTCCAGGACCTTGAGATGCTTCTTACGGAGCCACTCCTTAGTTGCCCTGGCTGTGTGTTTCGGGTCGTTGTCATGCTGGAAGACCCAGCCACGACCCATCTTCAATGCTCTTACTGAGGGAAGGAGGTTGTTGGCCAAGATCTCGCGATACATGGCCCCATCCATCCTCCCCTCAATACGGTGCAGTCGTCCTGTCCCCTTTGCAGAAAAGCATCCCCAAAGAATGATGTTTCCACCTCCATGCTTCACGGTTGGGATGGTGTTCTTGGGGTTGTACTCATCCTTCTTCTTCCTCCAAACACGGCGAGTAGAGTTTAGACCAAAAAGCTATATTTTTGTCTCATCAGACCACATGACCTTCTCCCATTCCTCCTCTGGATCATCCAGATGGTCATTGGCAAACTTCAGACGGACCTGGACATGCGCTGGAGGATTTTAATCCATGACGGCGTAGTGTGTTACTAATGGTTTTCTTTGAGACTGTGGTCCCAGCTCTCTTCAGGTCATTGACCAGGTCCTGCCGTGTAGTTCTCGGCTGAACCCTCAACCTTCCTCATGATTATTGATGCCCCACGAGGTGAGATTTTGCATGGAGCCCCAGACCGAGGGTGATTTACCATCATCTTGAACTTCTTCCATTTTTTTAACAATTGCACCAACAGTTGTTGCCTTCTCACCAAGCTGCTTGCCTATTATCCTGTAGCCCATCCCAGCCTTGTGCAGGTCTACAATTTTATCCCTGATGTCCTTACACAGCTCTCTGGTCTTGGCCATTGTGGAGAGGTTGGAGTCTGTTTGATTGAGTGTGTGGACAGGTGTCTTTTATACAGGTAAGGAGTTCAAACAGGTGCAGTTAATACAGGTAATGAGTGGAGAACAGGAGGGCTTCTTACAGAAAAACTAACAGGTCTGTGAGAGCCGGAATTCTTACTGGTTGGTAGGTGATCAAATACTTATGTCATGCAATAAAATGCAAATTAATTACTTAAAAATCATTCAATGTGATTTTCTGGATTTTTGTTTTAGATTCTGTCTCTCACAGTTGAAGTGTACCTATGATAAAAAATTACAGACCTCTACATGCTTTGTAAGTAGTAAAACCTACAAAATCGGCAGTGTATCAAATACTTGTTCTCCCCACTGTAGTTATAATCACAAAACAATAAATAGCTTAATAGCCTAAGCCTAGTACTACGATACTGCAACCCATAGAGATCCTATTATATTACTAGAGGGGCTATGTCATAAATCCTCAAAGTTCCAAAATGGCAGCCACCTTGGTCAGGGAGAAATCCAAAACCAGTCTAATTGGAATTAATGTCAGTAGAGGCATAGGTGCAGGACAATAAAAGCAAACAGATATGAATGGCATATAGCTGCAACCAACTGAAGTGGTTTCATACAGTGTGCATGCAAATAGGGCTGTGAGGGTCATGGAATTTTGGATGACGGTAATTGGCCAGCCTAGTTGGTTTAGCCACGGAAAAAGACAGGAACGTTCCCGCTAGACATGATCGGCTGAGATAATGGATGGGCTGGACATGCCGAGAGATGAGTTCGGATTGGTCTGCCATGTAGCATGCTTCTGTCTATAACATGAGCTGCTCAGTATGTGTAGATAGTCCTTGCTAATGTGGCTTTTTTCAAAGATATCATGGAGAACTGCAAAAGTGTTGCTACTGCTCTCAACAACATTGCTAGTGCTATTGACAAAGATCAGTGGGAAGAATGTGTGATGGACTGACTACTTTCTGGAGGACGATCGTGCCATGAAAATGAATCAGACAATGAGAAAATCCCTGATTTAGGTTAAAAAACAATAACATTGAACCAGACATTGTAGAGTCTTCTGATGACAGTGATGGGGAAGAAACGGCAATCAACAGTGTTGTTGTCACAGAAGATGTTGACCAAGTTTTGAAATCAGTGGAATGCCCGATGGAAGCAGAGTACGGTGGCTAAGCAGATGGAGAAAGTTCTGGCATTTGATTGCAAATGCGGAGGGAGTTGAAAAAATAACACAGAATGCTGTTGTATAAAACACCTGTCTCTGGATTACAGCTTCAAACTAAGGGCAACCATGGCATCCATGAGAGAGAGGGAGAAGCGTTCATCCATGTATACGGGTAAGAGTCTAGTTAGATACATTTTCAGATATTATACGTTTCTAATTTAGTCAGAAAGTCGTTCTTATTGCAAGTTAAAGCATACTGTTAGCTATGTAGCTAACGTTACGTGTATGATCTGTGTACTGTAGTAATATTATTTGTTTCTCAGAAATCCATTTGCATTGCTAGTTATAGCCTAATGTTAGCTAGCTAGCTAACATTGAACCTAGTTTGTTAGCTTTAGCTACCTGCAGATTCATACTACAGCATTTCATGCATGGTGACTAGCTATGGCAATCGGTTTGTATTGCTAGTATTGTATGGGTTGGGATTATGGTTCATTGTTTAGCTAGCTAGCTAACTTACATGTCTAAACAAAAGACTCCACTTCGCCAGATGATTACATGATCTGTGTTGTAATATAATTTGTCTCTCAGAAATTAATTTGCATTGCTAGTTATAGCCTAATGTTACCTAACAAAAGACTCCACTTCGCCAGATGATTACATTACCTATCAAGTGTGTCTGGGGGTGATTACGGCCATCTATTGTATTTCATGAACATGTGTATATGTCTATACAATATTGACCCATCCACTTAGATAGATATGGCTGGGGGGTGATTATAGCATTTATTTCACATGACTCATCAATTTAGACAAGTAAAGATAAAATATTTATATCTGGACACTCTCTATTTTTGATATTTATACTATGCAAATATGCAAGTAACCATTTCATTTCACTGTACTGTTTATACTTTCTGTGCATATCTAAATAAACTTAGATTTTATTTGATATAGTGCGTGTTTACCAGAGACGGTAATGTAAAGAACAACATGACCTGCACCAAAGTCAGATTAGGATATAGGCCAAGAACTAGATAAAAGTATTTTACATTTAGTTTTTCCTTATTGTAGGCTCCTACTTTCACCACTTTTAGCCTTGAAATATTTGGTTGTTTAATACACTACCTTACTCACTCTGTTTAGCACATGGCCTCACATGTGAATCCTTAAAGAGATGGGAGGGCTAAGGCTTAAGATGGTGTGAACCATGCTGAATTGGTGTAGACAAAGAAGAACTCTACAGTAGGTGTACCAAAACATTCAAGGACCATTTTCTTACAAGTTTATCAACTTTCAAAGCAGAAATACCTCCCCATTGTTCCTCAACTGCAGTGTATGATATACCATTTTGTAGCTCTGAGTCTCTACTTTTATTCAATGTAAAAAACACAATTTAAAATGTTGCTACATAAGACCGAATCGAGGCGGTCGGTCACATATGAAATTAAATAATAAATGAAGGGGGGGGAAAAAATCACTATTCCACTCAAATCACTCCAGCTTCTTATCCGGAAATCAGTTTGTGTTATTTTTTGCCTTTCCATAAAAACAAAACACTGACCTATGTGGATCACTACTGAATGTTTCTTTACATTAATAAAACGAGAGGTGAGACATACGCAGACTAATAACGTCACACTCGGCCAAAAGAAGACAAAAGCCGACCAGCAGGGGGGACCTATTGTGTCCTGGTGGCAGCTCAATGTGACCTCTGAACACGTGGCCCTGTTAACACAACGAGGGCTAATCTCAGTCGCTGATCAAGCAGCAAACAAACCCTGGCTGGGGCTGTCGTCGCTGCCGGCTGCGCTCTACTCAGTACTAAACAAGCCACAGGCAGCAGAACCACCTGAGGTCTCAAAGAAAAGAAAGACAGAGAGACAGACAGAAAGAGAGAGGCAAGGAAATTATAGGTTAATGAGAGGATGTGAGAGAGAGAGAGAGATGGGGTGAGAGAGAGAGAGATGGGGTGAGAGAGAGATGTGTGTGTGGAGAGAGAGAGAAGAGAGAGAGAGATAGAGAGCGAGAGAGGAGGGGAGATGGGGTGAGAGAGATGGGAGTGCGAGAGATGGTGAGAGTGTGCTGGGGTGAGAGAGAGAATGGGGTGGAGGAGATGGGTGGAAGAGAAAGAGGCGAGAGAGCGGGCCGTGAGGGAGAGAAGAGAGAGAGAGGGCGAGGAAGAAGAGAGGAGAGAGAGAGAAGAGAGCGGCGAGGGAGGGAGAGGAGATAGAAGGCGAGAGAGAGAGAGAGCATAGAGATCTAGAGCCCGAGAGCGCGACAGAGCGAGGAGCGGCGCTCGAGAGAGCAGAGAGGCCAGAGAGAGAGCGGAGACAGGAAAGAGAGGCGACAGAGAGAGAGAGATGCGCCCGAGAGCGGAGGGCGAGAGCAAAGAGAGAGCGAGAGCGAGAGAGCGCGCGAGCGGAGAGAGAGCGAAGATGGGGTGAGAGAGGAAGAGAGAAAAAAGGAAGTCAGAAGTAGTTTGAAGGGGGGAGGAGACTGTTGGGAAAGGTTGCTTGTATGAGTGTTTGTGTGTGTGTGCGCCAAATGAGAGAGAAGCCGCTTGTTACCAGGCAGGGCCCGGCCCTCGTCTCAGGGGAAATGCAGAGGAAGCACCTCCAACACACACGCTAGGGCAAGAAATGAAAGATACAGATGCAGACACAAACTCACAGTAGAGAAACACGCGGAGCACAGCAACCTTGCGAGCCACGCGCTACCCGGAGACAACCACAACAAACGCAGCGCGCAGCAGCAGCTTCAGCTCCACCTGCCCATCCCTTGCCGACCCATGGTTCCAGCTCCGTGTGCACCTGTCTTTACTCCCTGCTGGTTCCGGCCCGCCATGTTTTGGTCAGGGGCTTAATGTTTAAGATCTTCTTCAGCGAAAATACCTGGGCTCAACTGCAATTAAGGTAACTGGTTAGACTTAGCCTGCCGCTCTTTCTCTGTTCGCTCTTTCTCTGTGCGTGTGTGTTTCATAAACTCTTGGAGGTGATGAAAGATTGTATTTATTGCCCGGAATTGAAATGGTGGTGAAGGTAATATGCTAAGCTCAGCTGTGTGTGGTAACAACAATTCCACCGATGAGCTTTCAATTGGTTCATTAACTGGTGATAAAAATAAACATATGGCTCCATGAGAACTAGCAGTGTTTAATATAATATAATAATGGCAACAGGTGGTGGTAAAGTCAGTTCTTTTTGGCAATCATGAATTCCCATTTAACAAAAAATATCTATAGTGACATACTGTATAAACTGATCTATAGTGACATACTGGATAAACTGATCCATAGTGATATACTGGATAAACTGATATATAGTGACATACAGTGAGGGAAAAAAGTATTTGATCCCCTGGTGATTTTGTACGTTTGCCCACTGACAAAGAAATGATCAGTCTATAATTTTAATGATAGGTTTATTTGAACAGTGTAAAACAGAATAACAACAAAAAAATCCAGAAAAACGCATGTCAAAAATGTTACAAATTGATTTACATTTTAATGAGGGAAATAAGTATTTGACCCCTCTGCAAAACATGACTTAGTACTTGGTGGCAAAACCCTTGTTGGCAATCACAGAGGTCAGATATTTCTTGTAGTTGGCCACCAGGTTTGCACACATCTCAGGAGGGATTTTTTCCCACTCCTCTTTGCAGAACTTCTCCAAGTCATTAAGGTTTCGAGGCTGACGTTTGGCAACTCAAACCTTCAGCTCCCTCCACAGATTTTCTATGGGATTAAGGTCTGGAGACTGGCTAGGCCACTCCAGGACCTTAATGTGCCTCTTCTTGAGCAACTCCTTTGTTGCCTTGGCCGTGTGTTTAGGGTCATTGTCATGCTGGAATACCCATCCATGACCCATTTTCAATGCCCTGGCTGAGGGAAGGAGGTTCTCACCCAAGATTTGACGGTACATGGCCCCGTCCATCGTCCCTTTGATGCGGTGAAGTTGTCCTGTCCCCTTAGCAGAAAAACACCCCCAAAGCATAATGTTTCCACCTCCATGTTTGACGGTGGGGATGGTGTTCTTGGGGTCATAGGCAGCATTCCTCCTCCTCCAAACACGGCGAGTTGAGTTGATGCCAAAGAGCTCCATTTCGGTCTCATCTGACCACAACACTTTCACCCAGTTCTCCTCTGAATCATTCAGATGTTCATTGGCAAACTTCAGACGGGCATGTATATGTGCTTTCTTGAGCATGGGGACCTTGCGGGCGCTGCAGGATTTCAGTCCTTCACGGCGTAGTGTATTACCAATTGTTTTCTTGGTGACTATGGTCCCAGCTGCCTTGAGATCATTGACAAGATCCTCCCGTGTAGTTCTGGGCTGATTCTTCACCATTCTCATGATCATTGCAACTCCACGAGGTGAGATCTTGCATGGAGCCCCAGGCCGAGGGAGATTGACAGTTCTATTGTGTTTCTTCCATTTGCGAATAATCGCACCAACTGTTATCACCTTCTCAACAAGCTGCTTGGCGATGGTCTTGTAGCCCATTCCAGCCTTGTGTAGGTCTACAATCTTGTCCCTGACATCCTTGGAGAGCTCTTTGGTCCTGGCCATGGTGGAGAGTTTGGAATCTGATTGATTGATTGCTTCTGTGGACCGGTGTGTTTTATACAGGTAACAAGCTGAGATTAGGAGCACTCCCTTTAAGAGTGTGCTCCTAATCTCAGCTCGTTACCTGTATAAAAGACACCTGGGAGCCAGAAATCTTTCTGATTGAGAGGGGGTCAAATAATAATTATTAAAACGTTTCCTATTAACTGTTACTGCAGACAATGAATTAATGGCAGTTAAAACATTTGTCATAAGCAAACAAGACAACTTTTCTACTTCACGAGTCAGTATGCCAAGACAGCTTTCTCTGTCTGTTGACGTAATTACTGCGGATACCAATTTTGTTTGTTCTTTTCCTCATGTTACAATGGCCTGTGCCTTTTCTGTGAGAGACCCTTGTGATCTCATTACACTCTCACACGTTTCCATAACAAGCCCGATGTCCAAATCTCTGCAACAGGTTGCCACCGATTACAAGGTTTCAGCAAGTCTCAGGTGAATACGTCTCTCTAGTGTGCTATTAGGCGACTGCAGAGGGTGTTGAAGAGAAAAACGTCTCCCTTTTCTAGTGGATTCTTATTGACTCTCCACCTGGGTGGTAGTGCGGTGAACGAAGTGAAGCAGTGTAGCTCACTTCTTACAGAGATAATCCATCTGTTAGCAGGAGCAACTGGTAGACCTACAGTGGGGAGAACAAGTATTTGATACACTGCCGATTTTGCAGGTTTTCCTACTTACAAAGCATGTAGAGGTCTGTAATTTTTATCATAGGTACACTTCAACTGTGAGAGACGGAATCTAAAACAAAACTCCAGAAAATCACATTGTATGATTTTTAAGTAATTAATTTTCATTTTATTGCATGACATAAGTATTTGATACATCAGAAAAGCAGAACTTAATATTTGGTACAGAAACCTTTGTTTGCAATTACAGAGATCATATGTTTCCTGTAGGTCTTGACCAGGTTTGCACACACTCCTCCATACAGACCTTCTCCAGATCCTTCAGGTTTCGGGGCTGTCGCTGGGCAATACGGACATTCAGCTCCCTCCAAAGATTTTCTATTGGGTTCAGGTCTGGAGACTGGCTAGGCTACTCCAGGATCTTGAGATGCTTCTTACGGAGCCACTCCTTAGTTACCCTGGCTGTGTGTTTCGGGTCGTTGTCATGCTGGAAGACCCAGCCACGACCCATCTTCAATGCTCTTACTGAGGGAAGGAGGTTGTTACCATAAAGCAGGGGGACCTTGCGTGCGCTGCAGGATTTTAATCCATGACGGCGTAGTGTGTTACTAATGGTTTTCTTTGAGACTGTGGTCCCAGCTCTCTTCAGGTCATTGACCAGGTCCTGCTGTGTAGTTCTGGGATGATCCCTCACCTTCCTCATGATCATTGATGCCCCATGAGGTGAGATCTTGCATGGAGCCCCAGACCGAGGGTGATTGACCGTCATCTTGAACTTCTTCCATTTTCTAATAATTGCGCCAACAGTTGTTGCCTTCTCACCAAGCTGCTTGCCTATTGTCCTGTAGCCCATCCCAGCCTTGTGCAGGTCTACAATTTTATCCCTGATGTCCTAACACAGCTCTCTGGTCTTGGCCATTGTGGAGAGGTTGGAGTCTGTTTGATTGAGTGTGTGGACAGGTGTCTTTTATACAGGTAACAAGTTCAAACAGGTGCAGTTAATACAGGTAATGAGTGGAGAACAGGAGGGCTTCTTAAAGAAAAACTAACAGGTCTGTGAGAGCCGGAACTCTTACTGGTTGGTAGGTGATCAAATACTTATGTCATGCAATAAAATGCAAATGAATTACTTAAAAATCATACAATGTGATTTTCTGGATTGTTGTTTTAGATTCCAACTCTCACAGTTGAAGTGTACCTATGATAAAAATTACAGACCTCGACATGCTTTGTAAGTAGGAAAACCTGCAAAATCGGCAGTGTATCAAATACTTGTTCTCCCCACTGTACGTGAGGATTAAGCTGTGTCCACTTATTATTGAAAAATGAAAATGAATAAAGGTAGAAATGGCCATGTGCTTCTATTTAGAGCAGGGATATTGTATTTAGGAGCTAGAGTATGTCAGTGGTTCCACTGCAGTCATTTATACAGTTGAAGTCGGAAGTTTACATACACTTAGGTTGGAGTCATTAAAACTTGTTTTTCAACCACTCCACACATTTCTTGTTAACAAACTATAGTTTTGGCAAGTCGGTTAGGACATCTACTTTGTGCATGACACAATTAATATTTCCAACAATTGTTTACAGACAGATTATTTCACTTATAATACACTGTATCACAATTCCAGTGAGTCAGAAGTTTACATACACTAAGTTGACTGTGCCTTTAAACAGCTTGGAAAATTCCAGAAAATGATATCATGGCTTTAGAAGCTTCTAATAGGCTATTTGACATCCTCTGAGTCAATTGGAGGTGTACCTGTGGATGTGATTCAAGGCCTACCTTCAAACTCAGTGCCTCTTTGCTTAACATCATGGGAAAATCAAAAGAAATCAGCCAAGACCTCAGAAAAAGAATGGTATACCGCCACAAGTCTGGTTCATCCTTGGGAGCAATTTCCAAACGCCTGAAGGTACCACGTTCATATGTACAAACAATAGTATGCAAGTATAAACATCTTGGGACCACGCAGCTGTCATACCGCTCAGGAAGGAGACGCGTTCTGTCTCCTAGAGATGAACGTACTTTGGTGCAAATTTTTACATTTTACATTTTAGTCATTTAGCAGACGCTCTTATCCAGAGTGACTTACATGAGCAATTAGGGTTAAGTACCTTGCTTAAGGGCACATCTACAGATTTCTCACCTAGTCGGCTCGGGGATTAGAACCAGCGACCTTTCGGTTACTGGCACAACGCTCTTACCCACTAAGCTACCTGCCAGAAAACAGTTAAGGACTTTGTGAAGATGCTGGTGGAAACAGGTACAAAAGTATCTATATCCACAGTAAAACGAGTGCTATATCGACTTAACCTGAAAGGCCGCTCAGCAAGGAAGAAGCCACTGCTCCAAAACCACCATAAAAAGGCCAGACTACGGTTTGCAACTGCACATGGGGACAAAGATCGTAATTTTTTGAGAAATGTCCTCTGGTCTGATGAAACAAAAATAGAACTGTTTGGCCATAATGACCATCGTTACGTTTGGAGGAAAAGGGGGGGACTTGCAAGCCGAAGAACACCATCCCAACCGTGAAGCACAGATATATTGAAGCAACATCTCGAGACATCAGTCAGGAAGTTAAACCTT